AACTTCTCTGGTCTTACCAGGATTTTAACATCTACTAATTACCTTGAACAATAACATAAATATTGACTGATTCCTTTATTTAACACCCTCCCCCAGCTAAAAGTATCTTTTCAATTGAACCCAGAGAGGCTTGCAGAAAGGGTTCAGATAATTGTTAAAATGTGGATAAAACAGTTTCCACCTCAGTTTGTTGAGATTCTAAAGGAGATTACACTTAGCACAGTGTCTGGCAAATGAAAAACTGTCAATGAAGAGCAGACGTTGTTATTGTTATTATTATTGTGTTACAAACTGTGTGTGTGTGTGTGGGGTGGGGTCTGGGGAGGTCAAGCTGGGAATAAAGGTGAGGTGAGTAAGGAGAAGTGACCCAAGGAGCCTCCTCTTGAAGCAGTAGTGAGGAGGGTGGGGGTGAAGCAGGTGGAAAGGTAGGAGGGACTTGGTTGGACTTGACTGGTTTCAGGTTCAGGTATAAAGTTGGTTTGTCACCAGGACAGTCAGGGTGTCTTCTGGAACTGGGTTGGCAGAAGCAGTCCAAAGCCTGCTCAGCCAGTACTTGTCACCAGCATCAGCATGGCCTTTAAATGAAATTTGGCAAAGTTGTAAGATCTTTTTATTACTGCGAAGAACCTCAGATTTCACGTAATTCAGTCCCTGTTTTTGGAAGATGAATCAACTGAGACCCAGAAATGTTAAACAATTTGCTCAGTCACCAGGCACATGCCAGGGGAAGACTTGGCATATGTTCAAGATGGCCTTGAGATTCTGGCATCATGAGCATATCTTATATATACTCTAAATGAACCATGCTAATACATATACCTGCGGCACATATTGTCATCAATAGTATTAACATGTAGTATAAATTGTAAAAATTATTCTTTTAATTGTTATTGGATTACTGAATCAAAATATTAAAGAATTAGAATATTAAAGTATATAAGGAATTAAAAATCTCTTCAGTGCCTGATTATTAACTGTACATAATAATACTTAGACAACTTATAGATGTAATGTGTCTATATCCTGCATATGGAAAGAAACTACTTCTAAAAGAGCATTTGTGACAAAAAAGGCAAGAAGTATAAATTTAAGTAAGTGGATTCTCTGCAGTCAGTATCACCCTTGGCAATCCCACATTGTTAACCACACTTGCCCCTGCCCTTCTATTTCCACCAGGGGGCAGTGTTCACCTTCAAATGGATATTGCTTAGATTCTGAACCTCTGCTTTGGCCTTAACTAGAAATTATTAACCCCTGATCAGAAGCAACCTTAATATTGAGCTTTTCAAAATGCCAGAGCACAATGAATATAAAGACAAGATTTCCTTACATTTATATGGTGCTTTACAGCTTCCAAAGTGATTTCTTGTGTATTATCTCATTTGGACCTTACAAGGAATCAGGAAGAGAGGTTTCTTTCCTCTGATTTTAAGATGAGAAAACACATGTTTCTTATAACAACTTACGTTTTTTGAAATAAAACTCATAACAACATGAAAGGAAATTTTAATGAGCACCTACGATGCACCAGGACTGTACTAGTAGCAGGGAACACGAAGGGGAAGAAAATAGCTGCCTCAATCTCTTATTGTGAATAATGCTGCTGGAAACATGACCCTGATTTCAATTCTTTTGGACGTTATTGTTGAATTATATGGTAATTCTAATTTTGATATACATATATTTAAATATATTTTTATTGATTTCAGAGAGGAAGGGAGAGGGGGAGAGTTAGAAACATCAATGATAAGAGAATCACTGATCAGCTGCCTCCTGCACATCCCCTACTGGGGATCGAGCTCACAACCCAGGTATGTGCCCTGACTGGGAATCGAACCGTGACCTCCTGGTTAATAAGTCGACGCTCAACCACCGAGCCAGACAGGCCGGGCTAGTTTTAATATTTTTGAGGAACCATAATACTGTTTTCCATAGCAGCTGTACCATTTTACATTCCCACCAACATGGCGTAAGAGTTTTGATTTTTCCACATCCTTGCCAACACTTGCTATTTCCTATTTTTTGTTATTTTTAAATTGAATTTATTGGGGTGACATTGGTTAATAAAATTATATAGGTTTCAGGGTACAAATCTATAATACATCTGTATATCATATTGTGTTCACCATCCCAAGCCAAGTCTTATTTTTTAAATAGCAGTTACCCTAATGTTTGCCTTGCATTTCTCTAAAGATTGTGAATATTTTATAAATACTTTTTATTGATTTTATAGAGAAGGGAAAGAGAGACAAAAAATAGAGAGATGAAGAAACATCGATTCATTGTTCCACCCATTCATCTGTTGATTCTTGTATGTGCCCTGACCAGAGATCGAACCCACAACCTTGGCATAGTAGGATAATGCTCTAATCAGCTGAGCTACCTGCCCAGGGCTTGTCAGAGAGAATTTAATATAAATAATTGTTTAAGGAGATATTGGAAGATTGAAAAGGTTAGACAACAGGACCACCATGATTCAGACCTTTCAGAAATGAAGATTTTTCTCACCACACAGATAAAGAACTCTGATTCACTGAGATCCTGGCTTATGAATGGGTAGAAGAAGAGACAAAGCTTAATAACAAACAACTATCTACACTAATAAAAGAGAAACATGCAAATTGGTGTCACTCTGCTACACCCACCAGCCAATCAGGATGAGTATGCAAATTAACCCAACAAAGATTGCGGTTAATTTGCATACGCAGGTGCGGAGCGAAGACTGAAGATGACTGAAGACTGAAGACGACTGAAGACTGAAGAGGCTTGCCTTCTCCACTGCGGCCGGAGTGAAGGCCTGGGTCCTGGGTGCCGGAGGAAAACTGATGCCGGCAGCCAGAGGAAGGAAGGCCTATTGCATGAATCTCTTCGTGCAATGGGCTTATAGTCTCTATATAAAAGCCTAATATGCAAAGTGTTCCCTCTGGAGTTTGACCAATGGGAGTTCGATTGCTTGCTATGACGTGTGCTGACCACCAGGGTGTGATGCGGAATGAAGGCAGGGAGGCCCCGGCTGGCAGCTGGCAGCTGCTAGGGACCCTACCTGTGCATGAATTTCGTGCACTGGGCCTCTAGTCCTATATAATAAAAGAGTAATATGCAAATTGACTGGACGGTGAATGACCAGAATGCCTGTGGCTCCTCGCCTTGGCCAGCACTGCCCCAAGCCGGCCCCCCCACCCTCATCGGGGGCAGGGCCAGTCAGCAAACCGCCTGTGGCCCCTCGCTCCAGCTGGCCCCACCCATGGCCCCTCACCCCAACCAGCCCACCCCTGATGACCCTCATCAGGGCAGGCCGGCTTGACTCCACCAGTGCATGAATTCATGCACCGGGCCTCTAGTCTTATAATAACGTATTTGTATTTGTCTCAAGTCAGTATTATTGAATATGAACACACTTATCTTTTCAGTATGAAGAGAATGGCTATCTCAGATTATGAAAAACTAGAGGCCTGGTGCATGACATTAGTGCACTGGGGGCAGGTCCCTCAGCCCGGCCTGTGCCCTTTCGCAGTCTGGGAGCCCTCGGGGGATGTCTGACTGATGGCTTAGGCCCAAGCGAGCCTAAGCTGTCAGTTGGACATCCTTAGTACTGCCATGGAGGTGGGCTGCTGTGCTCACGAGCCGTCAGCCTGGCTTGTGGCTGAGGGGTGCTCCCCCTGTGGGAGTGCACTGACCACCAGGGGGCAGCTCCTGTGTTGAGCATCTGCCCCCTGGTGACCAGTGTGTGTCATAGTGACCAGTTGTTCTACCATTCGGTCGATTTGCATATTACCCTTTTATTATATAGGATACTCCAGGGACTTGGTTAACTTTGTTAGATAACAAATATTTTAAAAAGATAGTGTTTTTGAACACCAGTCAATATTTGCACAGTATGTGCTCTAAGAGTCCTTACCCAGCAACATGTGTTTCAGGGCTTTATAATGTGGCATGCTGGGACTTCAACAGTGAACCTCAGAAGACTGGCCCCCCAAAAGAGTGGCTGGGACATATATAATAGGACATATGAATTAAGTGGAGAATCTTTGAACTATGGTATTATTTGGTGCCAAGCAGGTCATGGAAACTTCACTATAGGGAAATTTATTCACATTGAAATAGGATTTCAGTTATCAATTTGGGGTACAGAGGGTAGGGTTTACCGAACAGGAGTTCCAAGCAAATGGCTTGGGGACCAGGGCTCATGTCCTGGGGAAAACTGGAGCTCAAATCAGGAAGAATATTGAGGAATGCTATTTGGTAGACATGGGTAATACAGGAATCCACCAGAGAACATAAGGTAGTCTTAGGGGCAGAATAACTCCAGCCCCTACCCACCCCATATACTAGCAGAGTATGAAGTAATGTAATTTGGGTTCTTATTGGCTGGAAGACGTGGTGATGGGGTTGATCCTACAAGTACCAGATTTTTAGTACTGATCACTGGGCAGGGTTGGCCAAGGCAAAAAGAGAGGTGTCCTTTCAGTCACATTGGCATCACCTGGCTTGACAGTGCTTCTCCTGTTCATCTGATGGGCACTACACAATTTTGTGTGATATGATTTCACAGTGTTAGAAAGCACTGGAAAATATCTCTTAAGCTGCATGGCAATTGGGCAGAAGTAATATAGTAATGGGAAGGAAATACGGGAAGGTAAATGTGAGAAGTCAAGTAATCATGAAATGTGAAATTTCCAATTAACTTTATTTTGGGGTCTGAGTTGAGAGATTTTAGAATTTCCAGGCTTATAATTCAAAGACAGAGAACTGGGATCTATCCACATATTATGTATCATTAAGAAAAAATAAGATTGGAGACTCATGAACTTCTTACTCAGTGAGGTTACTGACATTGATCCAACATACCCATAAGGTTAAAAATGTACTCAGAGAAATCCTAATGACAATAATCTCTTCAAAAATTTATGTATAAATCAACCTTCAAAGGCTATAGTTGACTAATGTTTAAGGTTAAAAATATAACCTAATTTAAATAAATACAATTCTGACCAAGTAAAATTGTTTGCATCAGTAAGAAAGTTTATTGAGTTCATTAGTAGATGAGGATAGAATTTTTTTTTTTCCCTTTAAAGAACACTTTCTGGTAAAGTGAAAAGAAGAAATACAGAAACCACAAAAACACCTTTTAGACACCTTGTTTTCAAAGAGGGAACCTATTTCCATAGACCATTAAGACTGAAGGTTCTGTTCTTCTTGGAGGTTCTGTTTTCCATGCATCTGTGCAAAGTGGCCTGTGTGAAGGGAGACTCTTCCCGCCTGATGTAGTTTATTTGTAGTGTTTCTTGGTTTCTGATTCAACCTTAGATGAAAGGACTCTACCATCAGGTGTCACTTCTTCAATAATTGTCTTGATCACTCTGGTTTTACTGTTGTCTGCATGTGAATCACGAAAAAGAAAATAGAATTTAGACTAAGCAATTTGGGGGGGGGTCCCCCACTAATTAACAAGCAGCATTTCTAAAAGAAAAAGACACCAAATTTAAAAAAAGAAAATTTAACTTTCTAAAGTTGCTTTAAAAATCTGAGCAATGTTTAAGCGATAGCATCTTAGACTACGCAAGTTTTCCTTCAAGATGGGTGTCCAGAGTATAATTTATTTAAAAATAAAATGCAAAGTGGGAACCCTAAGATTTTAATTTTTTAGAAAGTTAAGACGAATTCTTATTACCCCAGCCAGGTTCTCCTGACCTTGGTCCCTTAGATGAGGACTCCCCAGTGGACCCGGAAGAGGTCTTGCGGCCTCCGCCAGAGCTTCCG